TGGAAGCCGTTTGTGGCTATTCGAAGCTTACGACGAGAACTACGAGTTGATCGGAACTAATCTCAATTTGATCATCATTTGAGGGACTTCTAAATTCTAGGGTTGAGGAAGAAATTTGGGGCTTTTCATTGCTTTTGAGGTAGGGGTCCCTAATCCACACAATCTTGCACCTTATTGAGTTGATTTTACTTGGTTTATGTCCTAATATGTTAATTTGTGTTGATTATCTTTTAAAATAACTAGAATTGTGTGGATGAAACATATGATTATGTGAAATAATTAAATTGATATGAAAAGCATGCTTTACTTTAATTGATTGCCTTGAAAATAACATGATTGTTGTGCTAGAAAATATAAGACTATATGTGTTAATGAATTTAGGTGAAAAGCATGCGTAAATGTTAATTTACATGCCTATGATGTCTACTAACCTTCTAGATGTTGTTATGAAAGAGCATGTTAAATTGTGTAGTATGAATTTCTTTTATGCTCATATTATTAGAGAAAAATGTGACATGCATTCCATGGCATTGGGCATGAATAAAAAGGGCAAGTGTTTGAATAAAAATAAAAAGGGGATTTTGGGAAGAAATTTTATGAAAGTGGTTTTGAGAAACCCGATCGCCGCAGAGTCACTAAAGGGCTGGTGTGTTAATATAGCCTAGGGGGAACTAGGAAGATTGCCCTAGTGTGGTTGAGCTAGGCCCAAAATGACACTGTGGGGGTACCAAAGGTCAGGGACAGTAGCTAATCCTTCTCTCGTGTCGCTGCGGAGTCACCAAAGGGCGGGTTATATTGACAGTTTATGAAGTGACGGATGTTTTTCTGAAAATGGGGAGTGACATGCATGGCACGACATTTAATTGTTTTGAACTTGAGATTAATATTGTATTTTTACCCGGCTTTACATGACCCTAATTCCTATTGTCCTATTCATTGTTTGGATTCACGGGATTACAAGGGGTGTGTCTTAGGCACCACCTACTAAGCAATTGCTCACCCCTTTTTATTTAATATTTTTCAGGATACGGAAAAGAAATAGCGGACGACAATCCACCCTTGCCGTAGCTTGGAGTAGAAAAAAAAAATGTTTCTTTTTGCTATCTTTTGTAATTGGGCCTAATTTTGTAAACGTGATGACTTAAAATGTATTATTTTATAGTATGTGATGTATTTAGGCTCATTTTGTGTATGGCCATTAAGGAAATGTAATTAAGTTTTAACCACACTAAATCCTGTATTTTATGTAACGTGCTGTAAATTACGTTAATAATGTGGTTGTTGTTATAGTAATTAGATGTTAAAATGTATTTAACTATATACGTGAGTATAGTGATGTGGGTGGTTGGCTTCCAAAGTTGGTGTATCTCGGTTTCTTTCAGACAGTGGTAATTTGGGTGAGGATAACCCAACCAGTCGACGTAAAATCCCATACGTCGACCAAATGACCTGAACCAGTCGACGTGAACTTCCCCAAACGTCGACCGGTATCTTGGCAGTAGACTTTTCCACTGTACACGTCTCTAACTAGTTGACGTGAACTTCCCCACATGTCGACCAGTATCCTGGCAGTGAACAATATCACTATGCATAACCCCAGTTGATGTGTAATGAATACACATTGACCGGTTCCTGTTTCATATATTTTTCATTTAGTTTCCAATTATAATTACTTTATGACCCAATAAAATGCAATAATTATATTTTAATAATTGAAAAGACTATATTGCCCCGGATTTTATTTTATTTATTAAGTGATACGAGTAAATGACTTTTATGTCCTTTGAGTCTCAAACCATTTGAATTGTGACAAATTACTATCTTGTCCTTTTTGGACTTTAATTTATAAAATTTAATATGAAAGGTTCGTATTACCCTTGGATGATCAAGGGTCAGGCAAGGACCCGTTTAATGATCCGAATCCGGTAGATTTTGGTCGTTACAACTACCAACACTTGACAGCAAGTCAATGTCCCTTCATCGCAACTTATATGCCCTGTGTGAATCGTCCCCATAATCTCATGATCATATGTTCTCTCAATGCAATTTCATCTCTCCCATATTGAGATTTATTCAAGACAAGTGCATGCTCCATACTCTATCCCATTATTGGGATTCTTTGGTTTCTTGATTGAGTATCAGATGCAAGGCAAACACGCCACTCAACTTATATCTCTCTCCTCTGTGGTAATCATTCATGGGAGGAATGAAATGATCGCATCTTCAAGGGCAATAAATCCTCCCAGCGGGCTGTTTCTTCAATTCTTCAACTAATGCTTTTAAAGATAGCAATGCTTTAAGAAGAATATTTAAAGACTGGAATTTTCCCCCCTCTTGCTGCAGACCCCCTCCATGTCCACCATATTGAGGGTCAGAATCGGAATCCTCCACCAACTACTTTAATCCTAATTGTTATGGCCAGTTTCGAGATTAGTTTCAGATAACCGTAATTAACGGCTATGATTTAGTTCGTTAATTTAGGATATTTGTTAATAGGCCGTGTATGGTCCAAGGTCGAGTTATGGCAATTAGGCCTGTTTGGTTTTTTTGTTTTGCTCTATATGGGCTTGTTTTGGCCGAAGGGAGCATATGTATTTTATCTTTATTTATATACTTAATTTTTCAAAAAAAAAAAAAAACAATACTTTTATGGTTGTTGATATTGGCGCTCCACAAGCATCCTAAAGCACTCTACAAATTTTTTCTATCAAATGAAATTACTAAAAAGTCCTTAGGCCACACAATATTTGATTGCTATATCTTTCAATCTGGTAATTGCCCTTTTTTATATTTAAGAAATTTTTCTCACATGCTATCTATTGAGATTTTGCATGAAATTTTTTATTTTTTTCCCTTCGGTAAAGGTAAGTTAAAGAGAGGGTTTGTTCTAATCTAATCGTCTCTAAAAAAATTAATGGTATGGACTTTAATTAATTTCAACAAATTGAGAAAGATAAATTGAGATCGAAAATCAAATTGAAGAAATCAAAATCAGGCGAGTTTGTAGCCTTCGAAGGGCTCCTTGAAATTCGCCAAAATTCTACTTCCCCAATCGGCAACCGCATCATTGAAGAGACCGTTTACCAAATTTGGCGTTGGTTATGAAGGAGAGAACCCGACCAAATTTTGGATTCTACAAGATGTACATATATCACATATACACTATATGAGTAGTAATCTCTTGTTCTCCATGGATCAAGAAAATTTTTCCGCACTTTCTATAGTAACCATTAGATTAAATCTAATTGTCACATTACAAACCCACTTATATGTTTTCCTTTTAATACAAAACCACTATCATTATTTCTAGTTTTCAAATTTAATATTTGCCAATACAATTAATTATAACAATAAAAGTTAAGTACAAAAAAAATAAAAACAATGATAGTATAATAATAGCAGTATTAAAGAAAATATTAAGAAAAACAACTCATTTAGAAAATAATAGCATGTTTTGTTGTGTATCTACTCATTACGTCAATAAATTAATTTTTGTTATTGTGGTAGAACTAGAAAAAATATAGTGTGCGATTTATTATGACAGATGAGTAATTGGAATATGTTTACATCTAGTTAGAATTTGTGAAAAAAAGTTAGAGAAAAATATATTGAATTTTTAATATTTAAATAACATGCATTTAGGGAGGTATACAATAATTTAAGCTGTAATCTATTAATTTTTTTATGAGTGAAGTGTAGTGCAAATCACAGATTACATTAGTTTGATCAAGTAGATTTTATTTTTAATTTTTTATTATTTTTTAGTCGATGTTTCATTGTTTTGTATGTCAATAGTGTAATTTTTAATTTCTTTTTTACACTCAAACAGATAATGTCAACTTTAGTATCAGGTCATGGATGCAATTTTCTAACACTTATAAATTTTTTTTATAGAAAAAAAAAAATTTTCAATTAATGGTAAGACGTGATTTCAAGAGGTGAAGAGATTTCTATTTTTATTTTATTAGTAGTTACTTTTTATTGTTATAATTAATTGTATCGATAAATATTAAATTTGGAAACTAGAACTAGTAATAGTGATTTTGTATTAAAAGGAAAGTTATAGGTAGGTTTAGAATGTGACCATTAGATTTAATCTAATGTTACTATAAAAAGTACGGAAAAATTTTCTTACTCTATGAGGAGCAAGAGATCAGTATTCTACACACATATATATATATATGTATATATATATAAGGGGATGTGGAGTTGTCTGGTATGTAGTTGGTGATCTTGAGAAACTTGAAGAAAAAATTGAGATGCAGCCATGGTGAAAGAGCGGTGGTTTTTAGGATTTTAGTATACGTGTGCATCGCGAATATCAACGGCCTACTTTTATTTGTGTTATATATTTAAAAATAAATTAAATGTGTCAAGATGAGTTTGAGCACCTTTGTGAAATCAGAGGCCTGTCCATATTAATGTCCATATTGGATAACTATAATTTTCTATTATAATTTGAAAAATATATCTTTTTATGTTGTCTAAAAGCTTAAAATGTTGAATTGAAAAAATTATTTTCTTCAAATTTCACTAATTGTTACCCAATCAAATTGATCCTTAAGTTTTTCATCTTTCATGCAGAGAAGTTTCTTTCTTTCTTTTTTTTTTCTTTCCCCCAAAATTTAAGTCGAGAAGTTGATTGTTCATCTATCAGTATTTTTTTAATTTTTATTATTATTGGCAAGACTCAAAAATAGAAAACAAAGAGTTTTCCAAAAGCTGAGAAGTTGATTTACCATTTATGGGTCTGTTTTTGTTGGCAAGACTCAAAAATAAAAAAGAAAGTTAAATAAAAAAGAAAACAATCAAACAAAAAGGAAAAGAAGAATCGGGAGGGATGAAATGCAAAATTTCATATTTACACAGACACAATGCGACGAGGAGCCGGCTGCTTCTTTCTCCTTATTGCTTAATTTTCAATGCGTACAAATACAATCCGATCCCACGTCGCACCTTGATGGGTCAACCTGACTTGAAGAAATGTAGATTCCGTTCATCTACGGTGGTGTAACTGACTCTCCTTGATTGCATCCTCTAATTTTGACTTGTACGATGATGTCCACTCCTTCTGTAACATTGAGTCCTTTTCTGCCATTGGCTATCTCACAACATTGTCTACGCGGTGACTGCACATTCAATTATCATTCAAGAACATGTTAGTAACTCCATAGGTTTCCAGACATTAAGTTACAAAAAAATCACATATTAAATTGATCTTGGTCACGTAATGTCATAATTTAAGCTGTCTAATTTAAGCAACCAACGAGCAAGTGGCCTAACGATACCATATTCTTATTTTTCGAATGAGTTAAAGAGTTCGAACCTCGGTAGAGGTATATGTGTGAGAGTTATATTTAATGGTAAATAAGGTAATTATAATTGTACATCATTAATATTATTATTATTATTATTTACCTCACACATCGACTTTATCCTTAAAAATTAACCTTCAACCATCTATTTTGAAAAATAAATTTTTTTTCACCAAGTTACAAGTCTTTGGTTTACAATTCTCCATTGAATTGAGAAAATAAGCATATACTTTCAAAGTAATAATCTAAATTTATGGGCTTGGGCCTCTATTTGGGCTTGTTGTTAGCCTTGTTTAGGCTTAGGCCTTTTCTTCCCATTTCAAGGGCTTGTATATTTTTCTTTTCATTTATACAATTATTGACACACTTTATTATTTACCTTTCAATAATAATAATAAAAATAATACTAGTAATAATCTACGTTCATAAAATTGAGAGAGAGTGTTAAATAAGGTTAGATTTCTGACCTTCTTCCACATTCCAAGGTCAAACTTTGGCGCGGAGACGTGGAAGTATTGAACAGGCAATGTGGGGATATAATCATTCCGGTCACAATTGTTAGCTGGATCAGCCACATACCTCTTGTACCTGCTCACGCTCTCGCCTCTCTCACCCTTCTCAACCCCATCCAGGTAAAAGATAATCGGCCGTTTACACGGGTCGGGACTCAGGACTCGGGTATTAAACGTGAATGGCTCTCTACTCCAGCTCCTCCATGACACAAAAGTTTGGAATGGTGTTTCCAACCCCTTTGCCGTCTCCAGGTAAGGGTAGAGCTGTACAGTATAACCCCAAGACACCGAAACCGACCAGTTTTTATGCAAGTTATAGCCGAAACTGTGCTGCAGGGTCCTACCCGGATCCATTTCGTATGCCCGGAACAGCATTTTGAGGGATTCTATCTGGTTCAGTCCCGGAAACACAGGTTGCAAGTAGTCTAAGTGGTGGAGAGACACCAGTGGCGCCACCGGGTGTGCCGCTAATAATCCATACGGGTCTCCTCGAATGTCAAGCTGTCATTAATTATTTAAAATGCATGTTCAGTTGAATATAACATTATGGAGGGAGTAATATATATGAGTGCTTCTGCCAGGAATATATATATATATATATATATATATATATATATATATATATATATATATGAGTGCAAATTTTATTGTAATTTCAGTAGAAACAAGCATAGAAAAGTGATTCTCAGAACAAAAATTAAATCAAATAATCAAAAACAAAAACAACTAAACTGATGTGATGATATCATGTTTGAACTATATGGATTATCTAGTGATTAAAAAAAAAAAAATCTCTAAATCTTTTTTCTTGGGATAAAATTACTCTTATAAAAACAAATAAATAAAATAAAAGATAAACTAACCAATAAATAGACTGACGTGGCTCCTGCATAACGCAATGCCATTCATATTTACTGGTAATTTCCCTAATGTACTGATTAGATATTTTATATTTAATTTTTTACTTTTTCAACAAAGATGGGACGATACTGGATTTACCATAAATACCTTTTGAGAAAATCGTTAAATTAAGTTTTCTTTTACTTAGTATATTAATACAAAGTATATATTATGTTAAGCCTCGAATCATTTCAAGGGAATTTAATAACACTCTTTTATTTTTTTACTTTAGAGATAATGCTTTAATTGCATACGCAATTAATGTGTAAGAGAATTACATACTATTTCAAAACATATATACTATTAAACAAATATTAATAGGTAAGATAAATCAAACATAATTAACGTATTAAAACTATAGATAAAGTAGAGACCACATTTATGTGGCCTCTTCTCTCATTGGGGCTTTAGTGGATCCAAAGAGGTTGATATATATATATATATATATATATACATTTCCTAATTAAAAATTTATTTTAAGAAAGAATGGTCTAGATATAATAATACAAGTTAGTTGTGACACATCATTTCTTATGATGAACATAGAGAGTTGTTTCTGACAACTAATATAATTTTCGTAGCAATAAGATGGCTGGCAATAATATGCAGATGTTGAAATGAAACTTAGTAACATAATTTCAAAATTTTGAAAATTTGGACTCATTGAATATAATCACTTAAAGTCTGTGTTAGTATAAAATAAATATAATACTCTATTACCCTTAATTATCTTTACTACACCAGGTTGATTAGGACGATGAGTTATCAGTAAAGAGAATGTTAAACAAATTAAAGGGAGGTGGTACCTGATGGAAACCAAGCTCCTTGGTAAGTGGTACCCCGATCTCACTCATGCAACCTTGAATCTTCTGATCAGAGCCGTAGAACGATGCGTACCGATTAATGCATCCATCTAAAACCCTAACCAGCTCCGCCGCCAACGGATAACTAATGGCGAAACCACCACCACCATAGGCCATGTTGTACGAGTGTATCACATCTTGCTCCACACTCTCCGAATTCCCTCCAATATAATACATCTCATTATGATTATATTTGGACAACACTGTCACCAAATTCTCCAAAAAAAACACAGTATCATCATCACCCAACACAAACCACCTCACATTCTCCAACCCCAGCTCAAAACTTTCCTTCACAATCCTCGCAATCCGAATAGCCGCCCGAGACCCGTACCAGCACGAGTACTTGAAGCTGGACGTGTCGTTGGACACTTTATACGGCAGAGACGTGTCCGGCCACGCGGTGCCGGTGGCGGGCTTCTCGTCCAGCCACACGAACCCACGAGTCACGTTCGGTCTCCACCATAGCTCAGAGTATTGTTTCCGTTTCTGCCACGTCTTGGCCGAGCCTCCCAGCCCGAACAGAATGTGCGAAATGTTGGTCGATTCTGGTGGTTGTTGTGGGGCTAATTGAAGATCGTTGTTGTTGTTGATCTTTGAGCCTCGCATGAACATTTGATGACATTCTGAACATGCGAGCCATTTTGAACGGTTGGAGACGACGGAGAGAGAAACAATCGAAATCCAAGCGATGATGCAAAGAGCTATAAAGCCCTTCATGAAGGACGAGAAAATGTCTGGGATTTTAATGGCTGAAAATGTCCAGGGTGGTTTGAAATGGTCTTGAAAAGTGGTTTTTTCTGGGGTGGTTTGAGACATGTTTGGATGATGATCCTAATCTCTTCTTCTTCTTCTTGTTTTTTTCTGTTAGAGAAGAAAGTGAGGCTGACCCACCCACCCCTCAGAAACTGGGATGGGGCTCAGAGACGTGTTTGTTGTGTTTGTGTTTCAATAGAAATCAAATTCTGAAAATAACACTACTATTTTCACGCCTTGATTGAACCGAAGCCGTTTTAGGACCTTAAATTTATGAGGCAGTTTCTATAACATGTGTTCACGTATATGTATGTATGTATCTATTTATGATGGCAGTTTCTATTTTAAAAGGGCAGTATGTGTGTATATAATAACTATATACATAAATTTCAGGATATATTAATCAGTTTTACTAAATATAACTACTAGTATTGATTTTGTAAGTTGGCCGTTCTGGTATTTTTATGTCTGTCCATAGACGTGTGGAGAGTAAAGAAGAATCGAGTGTTATTTTAAATATATATATAACTATAAACTATTCAAGACATAGGTATTTTGATATCTGTCCCATAGTAATTTGTTTTTGGTTTTTGATGTCGTGCGGTGAGGTTGGAATTTGAGGGCCGGTGCAAGAAATATTGTGGGCTTCACTAGTGGGCCTCACACGCCCTCTTTCTTTTTGGCTTCTTCTTCCTAATTCGGTTCCAATTTTACAAATGTATGGTTGGGGTGATAAAGTTTGACACAGCTCGAACACAACACAAATTAAATGAATTTGAGTTAATTTTAAACGAGTTCAGGTTATAAACAGATCGATATGATTAATCCATTTACTTAATCGTGTCGTATTTGAATTGAGTGGTTTAACCCGTGTAATCCATTTATACTCGTTTAACTATATGCGTTATAAGTAAATTTCTATTTAAGTTCCAAAATAACTATCTAAACTTGTATCTTATAATTTATTATTTTATAGATTAAAGATTATTTAGTAATTTGGTTGGATTGAAACTTATAATTTAAATAATAAAATATTTGATTTTATTAAACAGTTAATTAAACAGACGCAACTAGTTTAACAAACAGGTCGGGTTAGTGTTGAGAGTTTCTGACACAATTATTAAACGGGTCGTGTTCGAATTGACCTATTTATTATAATATCCCTATATCAACACAACACGATTACGACGAACACGAATTGCCACCCCTAATTGATGATATAATTAAAAAAAAAAAAAAAAAAACAGACAAATACTATCGATGAAGATGAGGCTCCATTTTTGGTATCTATGTCTGTCCCTCCTAATAAAGATTTTTATATGTATATCTGTCATTATTAATTTGAATTTTGTTTATATCAGACCATTAATTTGAATTTGAATTTGAATTTCCCTGTCAAAGCATCTATAGACCTAAATCTAATGATAATTAAAGAATGTGTCTCTTTCAAATTTTATTCATTTATGTCCAATCTAGTAGTAAGAAATTAAGAATGTGTCTCTTCCAAATTTTATTCATATGTGTCCAATCTAGTAGTTGTCGGAGCTTAGGACTGAGAGGCCTTGCTCAAATGTATAAGGCCCAAAACCTAACACTAAAATAAGGCTTAAAGTCCACTGTTTTCAAAACAATGCCCAAAGCCCAACACTAAAACAGGGGCTCTATAAAAAATGTGGGAGAGAGTCCAAATAAAAAGCCCAAAAGTAAGGCAAACCAAGCAGGGCTACCCATCGCCCCCATTGACTTGAGCGGCCCATATAACTACCATCTGGTCGTCTCTACATATAAGCTCCTTTTTTTAATTAAATATATTCCTCCTAATTATGGAATAGCAGTGTACTCGGTGCATCAGTTACATCATAATCATTTCTGTACAATGCGCATGAACATGTGCATTCTATGCACAGGTACGGATAACTCTGATGACCCGGTATATGTACAAGTCGCCAAACACATCGAATATATTCTCTTAATTATCGATCTATTTCTAAGCCAAAATTTTCATCCTAAGGTGTTACTTCTAGTGCTTATCCCTCTAGTCTATGAAGAGTATTGGATTAGGGTTTTATCAACTTCAAATATATGCCCGTACTCCTTTCAATCCAAAAAATTTACATTAACCTTTACTATTTTCAAGACATGTATAATGAATTTTTTATTCTTTTTGATTAAAAAAAAAAAAAAGGAAATATTTTAATGGACTCACCCAACTTCATTTCATCGCATGAACCAAAATTATCAATGCCTACAGAATTAGGATTCTACTAATTTTTATATGATTCTATAGTATTCCAAAAAAAAAAAAAAACTCTGTAATAATTCAAATTCCAATTGTAAAGTTATTAAAGTTGATGAACGGTCTTGCTTTATGAATTCAAATTAAATATGGTAGTACTTTGATCTAAAAGTGTCATTTCAATTCCGAAAATTCATATATATATATACACACACATATTGTGATGTGTATGTGATGCATAATGTTTATCTTTTTCTGTATATTCAAATTTATGCAACTGATTGAATAGAAATTAGCTGACATATAAATTGACTGTCAAAACAATTATAAACAATTATCCCGCAGTATCCAACAAAAATACTAGAATATTTTTCTTGGAAATCTTCGTTACCTTATCAATACAAAATGTAATTACTTAATACCATAAACAGATAAACCCAAGAATATCTCCCATTCCCTTGCTCAATTCAATAAAACTACAACATCTGATGGACCATGTGCCACCAGACCTGTCACTCAATTCCCTATGAAATTCACTCACATTTCTCTGCAGCTCATCAGATCTTGCTAGCTGTGTTTTAATCAAGATGATCCAACTCAACTACCCTAATCAACTAGAGATGTAGAACTTAATTCTTCAAGACCAACGCAAACAATCTCACTAATTTCTGAATGGCCTTATACATGAAACTCTCGTCATTGCAGATTTGAGAAAGTTTAAATGTACGCAGTCTTGTAGAAAGGCTATTTTCGATCTCATTTTCTTTCAAAGATTCAATCATATAGCGAATATAATTGACCTATCATAACAATTAACTTAGACATGGTAGTGAGATACCACCTCTCCCTTTCTCTTAATCACTAGGCAATCATTGTTTTTTTTTTTTTTTTTTTTTTTTTTTTTTGAAAGGTATCACCAGGCAATCTTGATCAATTGATAACTTTTATTGGAATATATATGCCGGGTGACTGATTGTAACGTGAATTTCCTTAATATATAGATCTTTAAATCCTGAACAATTTCAAGCAATTATCTTTGTTATATTATTATTATTATTTGAATGTTTTCAGGTTTGGCATAATTTATTTATTAGGTTAATTAGGTTAAGCATAGATTATGATAACCCCTTCTTGTATAAGAGCATTGAGAAATATAGTTCCTCAATTAATCAACGACTTGCAGACGGTTCTAGATAACACAAGAAATTTCAAATTAATTTCCAACCTTATTTTTTGAACCTTTTTCTTTTTTTTCTCTTTATTTTTATGGTATAAGGGATCCTCTCCTTGAGAATCTCTCTACTGGGCTTCGTAGAGCTCAATCATGTGGTGCGCCTAGTTTCAGTCACATCATCCTCTTCCACTACCTTCATGTTGATTTTTTTTTTCCCCCTTCGTATAGAATCGAAATTGCAAGTGGTAGAATTGAATAAAAGGATGATGTGACTGAGGATTGATCCCCTACGGAGTCCAGTATATAGTGTGGAGGGAAAAATCTCCCTCTAATAAGAGCAATCCATATCATCATAAATATAACTTTATCTTCAATAAATGTCAAAGCCCATTTCGTCAGAAGCTCAAGTTGAGTTGGTCATTAGCCCAAAACCACCGCTATCTATCTACGGGCTTTACTAAAGCTCGAATCAAGACGCCAGCAGTCATGTGTACCAAGTTAGATGCGGCCCAAATCCATTTAAAGAAGGAACCGATCCTACAAGGAAAAGGATTCATCAAAGGAATAAGTTCTGTGTAAGGAAAATCCGGAAATAGAAGAATTATAAAGAGAAAAGAATTCTATGTGTAAAGAAATTGATATATGGAAAGAATTAGAGGACAAGCAACGCGAGTCCTACCATAATTCTTCTAACTTTTATATATAAATAGAGGCCCAGACCTCCAATAAAGAGATCCAAGCAATTCTACGCTTCTCTAGATACTGTTCTTATTTATTTTTACTGTTCTTGAGGGTGTTGTATTATTTTTCTCAATTGTTATTGGTTGAGTAGAATTTTGCACTTACACTTTGGCGCCGTCTGTAGGAATCGTGTGCAAATATATTCCCATTCTTGTTTTTGTTTCACAAGTGAATCCTGTAGCTAACCGTCCAGAATGTTGAACGGAGGATCTTCAGCAGATCAACAGACGAAGTTGATGCAAAAGATGCGTGAAGAGTTTCTGCACCAATTTGACGTACTTCGTCAGGCAAACGAAGCAAGCGTGGCTCAGATCGCCTTGCTTCAACAGCAGAATAACGCTCTACAAACGACGCTGGCTCAGTTGGCACCACCGCCACCAGTGGGTGACACAGCAGCACCCCCTAGTCAAAATATTCCTCCGATTACTGGACTTCCACCTGATGGGGTTCCACCTAATAAGGCACGACCCAATGAGGTTCAGCCGAATGAGGTTCAGCAACGGAAGGCAAGATCCGAGGCTGCGGCTTCAAATAAAGTCCCTCGTCGCACGCAAGATAATCAGGTCGAATCCAGCCATAAGCTTACGGTGTGGTCCAATGGAATCCCAGATGGTGTAGGTGTTCAGGATGCTTTTGACGAAAAGAGACTCCTAAAGATTCAAAAACCTGCCGAGATGGCTAGAGAACACAAAAATTCTTTGATCAAAACTCCTTTCACTGACGATATGTATCTGGTAGAGAGGCCCAAGAAATTCACCATGCCTTCTTTCACCCAGTTTGATGGAACAGGGGATCCTTCTCGGCACCTAGATCATTATGCTCAAAAGATGGCTTTGGATGATCTTAATGACCCTTGGATGTGTAGAGTTTTTCCTACCAGTTTGACAAGAGCAGCACTAGAGTGGTTCAGGAATAGACCGCATAAATCCATCTCGGATTACGTAACTCTATGCACCATGTTCCTGGCACAGTATTGCGGAAATAAAAAGCAAAAGAAAAGCATTGCCAGCCTCTTCACCGTAAGGCAGAAAAGGGGGGAAACATTGCAGGATTTCTTATCAAGATTCAACATGGAGGCATCAGAAATAGCGAATTGTCATCCCGCAACTGCTATAGAGACATTTAAACTCGCAATGACTCAGGGGACGAAGTTCCACACTTCCCTAGTCAAGTATTCTCCTCCCAACATGCAGACTTTAAATGCCAGAGCCTAGATCTACATTTAGCTTGAGGAAAATATAGCCCACCGAGCGCAACACGCTACCCTCGTGACAGTGGAAAACAAGCCTCGAGAAAGAATCCCAACTTCAAAGATTCAAAAAAGCCAACGTTCCTCAACGCCAGTCACCCAGGCACCTGAAAAAAGGTAAAGGGTAGAGGAATGATTTACACCTCTCCGAACTACCTTGGCTCGGCTCTTCCAAGAGAATAAGACGAAGTTCACAACTCCGCAGCCAATAAAGTAACCCCTAGAGCAAAGGGACAAAAGTAAGCATTGTGCTCATCATCGAGATTATGGGCATTCAACCAACGATTGCCGATCCCTCAGGCGACAGGTGGAGAATATGATCGCCAGAGGTGAGTTGACGGATTACCTCAAGACAAAGGAGCATGCAAAGCCCTGCGAGGTCTATCCCCATAAGGTAGAAGTTACGCAAGTAAAAGTTATCCATGCAATACATGGCAGGTCTGAAGATGATCAAGAGTCCGAGGAGGTGTACAGGTCCAGATTGAGGGTGACCCACAAGCTCAGGAAAATATCCTCAGTCAATGCTATCAATTCTGGTAGCATTAGTATTAGATTCGGAGATGGCGACCTACCCAGAGTGCAACTCCCCCACAAGGATCCATTGGTCATCAGTCTTTTAGTGGCCAATTGTATGATCAGAAGGGTTTTGGTAGATCCAGGAAGAAGCGCTAACATAATCACAAAGATGGTCTTTGATCAGTTAGAGATCACGTCATCATCTATTTGACCTACCTCCAGCCCGTTGATGGGATTCGAAGGCACAAGAGTAGATCCCCTTGGAGTAATAGACTTGTCCGTAACCGCGGCAAAGAGGACTCTGAAGGAGAACTTTGTTTTAACAAAGATCCATCATTCTTACAATCTCATCATGGGAAGAGGTTGGATACATCGGATGGGAGGAGTTCCGTCCACCCTCCACCAGATGATGCGGTGCTTATCTCCGGACGGGAAAGAAGTAATTAATCTGTGGGGCGATCAAGTCGCAGCGAAGGAATGCTATATGCTGACATAGGTTGAGGCGAAGAGGATGTCGACTCAACAGCAACCAGGTGAGGCTTCCAAAACTGGACCCAAATAGCAATTACAGAGCCCACTGCCCAAGTATCTTAAGGGAAATGAGGAAGAGGAAATTACGAAGCCCACCGAGGAAACCCTCGAAGCCGTGGAAGTTATCTTCGGCGACCCTTAGAAGGTTACTTATCTAGGCTCTTCTTCCACGACCAAAGAAAATGAGGCATTAATTGATGTTATCCAGAGCAATGCAGATGCCTTTGCATGGGATCACTCGGACATGGTAGGAATCGATCCCACAGTTTCTTGCCATAGCCTGAAGGTGGATCCGGAGTTCAAACTGGTCAAGCAGAAACACCGAAGGTTTGCCCCTGAAAGCAATCGCATTATAGCTGAAGAAGTAAACAAATTATTGCAAGCAGGTTTCATTCGAGAAGTACAATATCCGCAGTGGTTGTTGAACGTGGTAGTCGTACAAAAGAAGAATGGAAAGTGGAGGGTTTGTGTAGATTATACCAACCTCAACAAAGCCTGCCCTAAAGACAGCTACCCTCTGCCCAAGATAGACCAGATGGTTGATGCTACCACCGGCTATGAGAGGTTGACATTCCTAGATGCATACTCGAGATACAATCAGATTCCTATGGACCCTGAAGATGAAGAAAAAACGGCTTTTATTACAGAAAAGGGGACTTATTGTTACAGGGTCATGCCCTTCGGACTGAAGAATGCTGGAGTTACTTATCAACACTTTGTCAACAAGATATTCGATAATCTGTTGGGAAAGACAGTTGAAGCATATATAGATGACATGGTGGTTAAAAGTGTGAAGAAAGAAGATCATTCGAAGCATCTACAGGAAGTTTTCAATACTTTGAAGAAGTATAACATGAAGTTGAATCCATCTAACTGCTCCTTCGCGGTATCATCAGGTCAATTCCTCGGCCACATAGTGAATAAAAGAGGGATAGAGGTAAGTCCGACTCAGGCTAAAGCCCTCATCCAGAATCAGGAACCAAAAAATCGCAAGGAGGTGCAGGTACTTACTGGTCGGATCGCAGCACTCAACCGGTTTATATCCCGATTGTCAGATAAGTGCAAACCATTCTTCGATACTATACGATCCAAGAATAAAGATATATGGGACCTCAGCAGTAGGAGGCCCTCAGTCGGTTGAAAGGTTACATGGCTGAACCACCTGTGATACCCCTCGGATCCGAGACAATGGTTGATTAGGCCCAGGTCCAAACCCGAGGGAATATCAAACAATTAAAGTATTTTAAAACGAACACAGATGACAAAAAGAACAATAGAGATAGAATAAAACTGAAAGAAACATTAATTATAAAATCCTCCATGTATAACTAAAAATTGAAACTCCAATCCTTCAAAACTTCAAGGTTACAACTTAGGAATCCACTGATGGACCCCTAACCAAAAGTTCAACTGAAACTGAAAACTGAAAATAGATAATGCTAGAAATATCGAGAGAAGTCCTACGTAATCAGATGAAGGTGAGACTATCCTCGATAAGCACGATCAAGCTCTAAAGCTGGAACCGTCCTGTACCTGAAAAGAATAATGAAGGAGTGGGTCAGACCCACGAGCAAGTTCTAATCTAACTACAATCCATACAGTGACCCGATACGCAGATACACCGTAGACACCTCACAATATCTATCTAGTCCATACGTATAAATATATCCACACTAAGGGACATTCACTAGTCTATAATAGGGGTCTCAACCTGAATAGAAGGCAACATGCGATTACGCACCCAAAGGTGGGCATGAGTACCTAGACCTAACAGGGTACACCTCAACCTATTATAACCAGCTACGCATCCACTGCATATACGCACCCTAACCAACGAGTCTGAGACTTAAGCTCAACTCGTGGTACCATAAACATATATATAAAGTCCGTCCAAATCCAGGGTAAGCAGTTCAACTATTTATTAAACTGACCTACAATAAACCAACTAGTTAGTCACTCAACTTATTCAGTTGATATGACATAACTACCAGCCGTTAATCCAGGAAGTCATCCAACTTGGTTACAGCTGATCTGACTTAGTCACAATTAGGATTCGATATCTTTCAATCCATTCCATTAATCCAATAGGTTAGGTTTATGCGTTTTGAGCTAAACCGTCCCTAATATGTCACCGTCCCATACCGGTACATACAATCCTCCATATTCAGGTAAATTACAACATATATAACAGTTTAATAATTTACAGACCCAAAAATCACCATCCAAGCAATTGCAGAAAAATATTTAAAGCTTTAGCAATTTAAATCTAAGCATTTAACCATATAGTTGCAGGAGACGATTTAACAAATCAACAACTAACAACCAGAGCATGTATAAACCAAATTTAATATGTCAGGGACTCCATCATGCATGTGAATAGGTTAAATAATCCTATTATTATCCAATAAATTGCTAAAACAATTTCAGAAGATTGTTTAATAGTTCGGCAATTTAAATCCAAGCATCAACCATATAGTTGCAGGAAACGATTTAATAATTCAACAACTAGCCTCTTAAGCATGCATAGATCAAAATTAATAATTAAATGACCTTATCATGCACTTGAATGCATTCTAAAACAAGTTTAATAAACACATTATATTCCATCAAATTGCTGAAATTTAATTCAACAATTAATTCAACTTCCATTTGTTAACAACATAGGAAGTGCCTTAATTTTTACACTGTTTATCCCGACAATTTAGAATTAAACTTTAATCAATTTAGGGTCTTAATAACACTCAAAATTCATTCTGTAAAGTTCCAAATTCACTCAAATAGTCTCCATGCTCCAATAGTGAACATAGTACGTAGAAAATTAAAAAAAAACTTAAAATAAATCAAAATTAAAAAGGGAGCCTGCTCCAAAATTTGGAGCAGGCTCTTTTTCCAGCCTAGAGCCGGCTCTAGGACTCCTTAGAGCCGGCTCTACTTTGTTGTGGGAGCCGGCTCCCACTTCTATGTAGCCGGCTCTCACCTCCTTTGAGAGCCTTCAGTCCCCGGTGCGTCGTTTCAGCTCTTGTGCTCCTTCTCCGGCTTATTCCTAACACTCTGTTAGTTTTTAAAACCAAACTTAGGTGTTATATTAATACCCAGTAGCATCCCAATGGCTTGATAACAACAATTAAAATCAATTACAGAGATTAAATTTGCTACCGAACTAACTCGCGTTAGGAACAAAACTGAAACTATAATTCTATTCAAACCTCTCTGTTTCTTTTCACAAACTGATCTTAGGAGTCTTATATCATCCCATTAACATCCCCAGGGTTTGTTTACAGAAGATAGAATCAAGAATCGTAACTAAAATCTCAACAGATTTTAATATGCTTTAATGAATAGAACTGGGAGCAACAATACACGAACTGTAAACAGATTTGAATTCAATGCAAACAAATCATCAACAAGCATACATTAAACACATAAGTTCCATTTACTAATTAGTTAATCCCTAGAGACTATCTAGGTGCACAGAACACGAGCCAAAAAGAAGGAGAAAGAGAAGAACTTGCCTATGATTTAAATTTTGAAATCCCTGTGTCGTCTCTAAGTTTTCCGGCAATTCTGAACGCCGTCAAGCTTCCTATAACTCTGTTTCTAATCCTTACTCAACCTCCTTGGTCCTCTCTGTACAAATCCTCTTAAACCTCACTCTGTTATCCCACAACTACTCTCTGTTTCTCTCTCTGTATCTTTGGTACGTGAATAGTGTTTTTCCAACCCTTGATACAGATTTTAACCGTATCTATATAGGCGTAAACATCATAAACCCTAATCCGTGTTTAATCAGAGACAGAGCCCTAATTCTAAACCTAGTCGGCCCATGAAACTATCTCTGTTACGGCTTACCTATACGTGAAATTCCAACCCCAAAGTTAACAGTAACTTAAAACAGAATTAAAAAAAATAATAATAATTAAATAATTAAATCCACTTAACTAATTAATTCCAATTAAATAACCCAATTAAATAAGTAAAAACACTTAAACAATAAAATGCCAATTAAATAATAAAAGATAACTTAATTCAATTTAAAACACATGACACATAGGTAAACAATTAAATCAAATCAATAAATAAAAATAATTAAACCAAATAATCACACAAAAATACAATAAAAATAATAAATAAATGCCGAGACTATCCTTGTAAAATTAGGGGTATTACATTCTTCTCCCCTAACAAAAGGAATTCCGTCCTCGGAATTCGCCCTTACCTTCTTCCAATATTTCAAGAAACTGCGAGCGAATGACATCCTCCCGTTCCTAAGTGGACTCGGCCTCATTGTGATGACTCCACTGCACACGAACCAAAGGGATAACCTTATTGCGAAGGATTTGATCCCGACGATCGACAATACAACATGGTGGCTCCAAATAAGTTGCATCCGGCTGCAACTCAATCTCCCCAACATCGATATGCTGATACCGATCCTCATCTCGCAGAAATTTCCGTAACATGGACACATGGAATACGTTGTGTACGCGATCCAAATTATCTGGCAGTGCCAACCGATAAGCAACAGCTCCAACTCGATCCGTAATCATGAATGGACCGACAAACTGCGGAGACAACTTCCCTTTCTTCCCAAAGCGCATAACACCTTTCATAGGAGATACTTTGAGAAGAACCTGATCCCCAACCAGAAACTCCAAAGCACAAGTGCGACGATCCGCATAG